CAAGCGTTCCGCTGCTGCAGGAACCTAATCCTGCTTTATACTTCTCCACAACTTTATCCCTGACCTGTCTGGTGTGTTCCTTGTCCTTTATGATGCTGTTTGTTCACTAATGTTCTCTAACAAACCTCTGAGGGCTTCACAGAACAGCTGGATTTATACTGAGATCACATGAAACACAGGGGGGCTCTATGTACTAATTAGGGGACTTCTGAAGGCAATTGGTTCCACTAGATTTTAGTTAAGGGTATCAGAATAAAGGGGGCTGAATACAAAGACGCCACATTTTTCAGATCTTCATTTGTAAATAATTTTGAAAAAACATTTCTCATTTTCCTTCCACTTCACAATTATGCGCCACTTTTTGTTGGTCTATGCCCTTCTAGGAACAGGAAGAACTTTCTAGAAGAGGGGAAGAAGCCTGGAGTTGCATGTTTAGGGGAACTTGGCCAATCCCTTAGGCAGGAGGCCAGGCATGGTGGCTGAAAGCCACCCTTAAATGTGGAAGAGCCTGAACTGTTGCTGGGCTTCTTCTTGGAGTCGGGTGGAAGATTGAGCGTGGAGCCTGGGATGGGGCCCCAAGGAGGGGGGCTTACCTACAGGCTGGAGCAGACAGAAGGATCTCCACTGCCCAACAGTCTCCTAGGAAAGATGTCTTGTCAGCAGGGAAGGAGCCAGCCCAGCACAAGGGCTGGAAGCAACTGCAACCCAACCAACCAAAGCAACTGCAACCCATCAAGCTACAGGGAAGGACAATGTGAGTGCTTCTACACCCCCTGTGCCACAAAAGAGAGAGGGCGGTGAGGTGCAATGCCCAGCTAGCTTTCATCTGGGACTGCTCAATGCAAGATTCTGGAAACCCTTGCCCAGGGACACCCCCAGGACAGCCAGTTGGATGAGGAGAGCTTCATCCGGGGTCTGAGGAGGTACACCAAAGGGGACTCAGGGCTCCTTAAAAGAGACAGCAGTTGATTTTTCTGCACACGTTGTACACAGTTGCTAAGATGTTGTCCTTACGTTCTACAGTTCCTTGGGCATCCTACATACGCCTAGACCAGGAGCGGACTGACAATTCATGGGGCAATAGGGGATCATGGGGCCCCTGTGTCCTTGCCCACACCCAAAAAAAAGCCTATGAAAAAGCCAATTAAAGGTACCAGGGGCATATCATGGGGCCCCCTACTGACCCCGGGCCCTCGGGCATTACCCGAGTGCCCGAATGGTCAGTCTGCCCCTGGCCTAGACCCCATCCATGTTCTTAACCCTTTAATAAAAACAAGAAAAATAAGCTCAAGGATTGTTTTACTGCTTCAGAGAGAAAATGTGGAAACTGCGTGTTGCCTGGCTGCGCAGAGCTTAAGGGGAACCCAAACAAATCCAGTGGCCCTCAAGAGGTTAGCGCTACACATCGATAATGACTTGTTCTGGTACCAAGAAAGTCCAAAATAGGGTAACAGTAGGAATGAGGAACCTTTGAGGTCCAGATCCCCCGTATTAGTCTTCCCTGGTCTGTACACAGACGTCACCAGTTGGTTCCATTCTCCCTGTTGGATGGTCAGTAGAAGAGAAAAGTGGGAACATTCTTGAAACTTCGGGGTTAGGCGGGAACCGAGCGAGGAACGATGGATGACGAGTCCCTAAGACCCACCTATACCTGAGATGTCACTTCTGGGTGGACGGATCCTTTAAGTGATATTAATACATTTCTAAAGGTGTAAATAAAGTGATGATATCTTTCAGCTGCTCATTATCGGATCCCCGGAGTCCTCAGAAGGCCGATGTTCAATAATACGGGAGAGGACAATAAGGTTAATTGGTCATTGTTATGTCAGCTCCTTCTGCCCTGATTCCTCAACATATATTTAATTTCCATCGTTCTGCTCGCCGAGCAAAAGGGGGGGGGGGGGGTTGAAGTCTCCCGGGGATTAGCATATGGTTGAGAGAAACCTGGGAGGAAAATGCAGCAGAAACCTGTCCAGTGTCAGGACAATGGAGGTCTGAGAACAGGATGAGCCATGATCTGGCTGGAGACCTCCATATCTATATACAGTGAGGAACAGGAGTATTTGAACCCCTTCGATTCTGCAAGTTCTCCCACTTCTCCATCATGGAGGGTCTGACATTCACATTGCAGGGGATTCCCACTCTGAGGACAGAATTCAGGAGATCACATTGTATGATTTGTAAAGAATGTATTTGTCTCGCACGGCTGAACAGAAGTATTTGAACCCCTGAGAAACAGCAAGAATTCTGGCTCTCAAAGACCTGTTACTGCGCCTTTACAAAGTCCCCCTCTACTCCACTCATTCATCTCACTTAGTATCACCTGTCTGAGCTCTTTAAAGACACCTGTCCACCCCACAGTCAGTCAGACGCCAACTACTACCATGGGCAAGACTAAAGAGCTGTCAAAAGACACCAGAGACAAAACTGTGGACCTCCACAAGGCTGGAAAGGGCTACGGGGCAATTGCCAAGCAGCTTGGTGAAAATGGATCAAATGTTGGAGCAATTGTTAGAGAATGGAAGAGGCTAAAGACGACTGTCAGTCTCCCTCGGACTGGGGCTCCATGCAAGATGTCCCCTCGTGGGGGATCACTGATGATAAGAAAGGTGAGGAATCAGCCCAGAACTACAAGGGAGGAGCTGGTCAATGACATGAAGAGAGCTGGGACCACAGTTTCACAGGTCACTGTCGGTAGAACACTACGCCGTCATGGTTTCCAATCATGCATTGCATGGAAGGTTCCCCTGCTCCAGTCATCACATGTCCAGGCCCGTCTGAAGGTTCCCCTGCTCAAGTCATCACATGTCCAGGCCCGTCTGAAGGTTCCCCTGCTCCAGTCATCACATGTCCAGGCCCGTCTGAAGGTTCCCCTGCTCCAGTCATCACATGTCCAGGCCCGTCTGAAGTTTGCCAATGACCATCTGGATGATCCAGAGGAGGCATGGGAGAAAGTCATGTGGTCAGAGGAGGCATGGGAGAAAGTCATGTGGTCAGATGAGACCAAAGTAGAACATTTTGGTCTAAACTTCACGCGTCGTGTTTGGAGGAAAAAGAAGGATGAGTTGCATCCCAAGAACACCATCCCTACTGTGAAGCATGGGGGATAACATCATGCTTTGGGGGTGCTTTTCTGTGAAGGGGACAGGACGACTGCACTGTACTAAGGAGAGAATAAATGGGGCCACAGGTGTATACAATCAAGCCCCTAGGCATGCAGACTGCTTCTACAAACATTGGTGAAAGAATGGGTCGCTCCCAGGAGCTCAGTGACTCCAAGCGTGGTCCCGTGATAGGTGGCCACCTGGGCAATAAGTCCATCCGTGACATTTCCTGGCTACTAAATATTCCACGCTCAACTGTTAGTGGGATTATACCAAAGTGGAAGCCACTGGGAACAACAGCCACTCAGCCACCAAGTGGTAGGCCACGTCACATGACAGGGCGGGGTCAGCGCATGCTGAAGCGCACAGTGCGCAGAAGTCGCCAACTGTCTGCAGAGTCAATAGCTAAAGACCTCCAAACTTGGTGTGGCCTTCAGATGAGCCCAACAACAGTGTGTAGAGAGCTTCATGGAATGGGTTTCCATGGCCGAGCAGCTGCATCCAAGCCTTCCATCACCAAGTGCAATGCAAAGCGTCGGATGCCGTGGTGTAAAGCACGCCACCACTGGACTCTAGAGCAGTGGAGGCGTGTTCTCTGGAGTGACCAATCACGCTTCTCTGTCTGGCAATCCGATGGACATGTCTGGGTTTGGCGGTTGCCAGGAGAACGGTACTTGCCTGACTGCATTGTGCCAAGTGTGTAAAGTTTGGTGGAGGGGGGATTATGGTGTGGGGGTGTTTTTCAGGGGTTGGGCTTGGCCCCCTAGTTCCAGTTACAGGAACTCTAAAGGCATCAGCATACAAAGAAATTATGGACAATTTCATGCTTCTAACTTTGTGGGAGGAGTTTGGGGATGGCCCCTTCCTGTTCCAACATGACTGCCCACCAGTGCACAAAGCAAGGTCCATAAAGACATGGAGGAGCCAGTTTGGGGTGGAGGAACTTGACTGTCCTGCACAGAGTCCTGACCTCAACCCCATAGAACACCTTTGGGATGAATTAGAGCGGAGACTGCGAGCCAGGCCTCCTCCCCCGACATCAGTGCCTGACCTGACAAATGTGCTTCTGGAAGAATGGTCCAACCTTCCCATAGACACCCTCCTAAACCTTGTGGGCGGCCTTCCCAGAAGAGTTGAAGCTGTTATAGCTGCAAAGGGCGGGGCCAACTCAATATTGAACCCTACGGACTAAGACTGGGGGCCATTAAAGGTCATGTGGGTGGAAAGGCCTAGGGCCCAATATTGAACCCTACAGACTAAGATTGGGGGGCCATGAGAGGTCATGTGTGTGGAAAGGCGGGGGGTGCAATACTTTTGGCAATACAGTGTACATTGTACAGATGCCTACAAATTATATTAATTGGACAGAAATTGATTCCAAAGCACCCAGAATTCTGTCTTGTGAAAGTTCACTATACACCAATCATTCATAACATTGTGACCACCCACCTAATACTGAGTAGGTCCCCCTTTCCTGACCTGTCTCACGATGCACTCCACTAGACCTCTGGAGGTAGGCCATGGTCTCTGGCACCAAGCCATCATTAGCAGATCCTTTAAGTCCTGTAAGTTGGGAGGTGGGGCTTCCATGGATCAGACTTGTTTTTCCAGCCCATTCCACAGATGCTCAGTTGGCTTGAGATCTGGAGAATTTGAAGGCCAAGTCAGCTCCTCAAACTTGTGTTCCTCAAACCATTCTTGAATTCATCAGACCAGGCCAACTTCTTTCATTGCTCTGTGGTCCAGTTCTGAGGCTCACGTGCCCATTGTAGGCACTCTGGGCTGAGGACACGGGTCAGCATGGGCACCGTGACCGGTCTGCGGCTACACAGCCCCCATACACAACAAACTGCAAAGCTCTGTGTGTTCTGATACCTTTCCATGAGAACCAGCATTCACCTTTTTCAGCAATTTGAGCTCCAGTAGCTCTTCTATTGGATCAAGCTACAAGGACTAGCCTTCCCTCTGCACCTCATTTAATGACCCCCTCCACCGTCAACAACGAGCCACCCCTCCCCACCTCCATCAATGAGCTGCCCCCCCCCACACATCAATGAGCTCCCCCCACCTCCATCAGTGAGCATTCCCTCCCAACCTCCATCAGTGAGCCTACCCCCCAACCTCCATCAATAAGCCTTCCCTCCCCACCTCCGTCAATAAGCTTTCCCTCCCCATCTCCATCAATAAGCCTTCCCTCCCCACCTCCATCAATAAGTCTTCCCTCCCCACCTCCATCAATGAGCCTTCCCCCCAACTCTATCGATGAGCCTTCCCTCCCCACCTCCATCACAGAACCTTCCCTCCCCTTCTCCATCAATGAGCCTTCCCTCCTCACATCCATCAATGAGCCTTTTCTCCACACCTCACTCAATGAGTCTTCCCTTCCCACCTCCATCAATTAACCCCCTCCACCTCCATCATTGAGCCTTCCCTTCCCACCTCCATCATAGAGCCTTCCACCCCCACCTCCATCAAGGAGCCTTCCCTCCTCACCCCCATCAATGAGCCTTCCCTCCCCACCTCCATCAATAAGTCTTTCCTCCCCACCTCCATCAATGAGCCTTCCCTCCCCTCCTCCATCAATGAGCCTTCCCACCACCATCAGAGTACCTTCCACCCCCACCTCCATCAATAAGCCTTCCCTCCCCACCTCCATCACCAAGCCCTCCCTTCCCACCTCCATCAATGAGCCTTCCCTCCCCACCTCCATCATATGAGCCTTCCCTCCCCACCTCCATCAATGAGCCTTCCCTCCCCTCCTCCATCAATGTGCCTTCCCTCCCCACCTCCATCAAAAATCCTTCCCTCCCCTCCTCCATCAGTGAGCTTTTCCTCCCCACCTCCGTCAATAAGCCTTTCCTCCCCAACTCCATCAATTAGCCTTCCCTCCCCACCTCCATCAGTGAGCCTTTCCTCCCCACCTCCATCAATGAGCCTTCCTTTTCCACCTCCATCAATGAGCTTTACCTTCTCTCCTCCATCAATAAGCCTACCCCCCACCTCCATCAATGAACCTTCCCTCCCCACCTCCATCACCGAGCCCTCCCTCCCCACCTCCATCAATGAGCCTTCCCTCCCCTCCTCCATCAATGAGCCTTCCCTCCCCACCTCCATCAATAAGTCTTTCCTCCCCACCTCCATTAATGAGCCTTCCCACCACCATCAGAGTACCTTCCACCCCCACCTCCATCAATAAGCCTTCCCTCCCCACCTCCATCACCAAGCCGTCCCTTCCCACCTCCATCAATGAGCCTTCCCTCCTTACCTCCATCAATGAGCCTTCCCTCCCCTCCTCCATCAATGTGCCTTCCTTCCCCACCTCCATCAATAAGCCTTCCCTCCCCTCCTCCATCAGTGAGCTTTTCCTCCCCACCTCCATCAATTAGCCTTCCCTCCCCACCTCCATCAATGAGCCTTCCTTTTCCACCTCCATCAATGAGCTTTACCTTCTCTCCTCCATCAATAAGCCTACCCCCCACCTCCATCAATGAGCCTTCCCTCCCCACCTCCATCGCCGAGCCCTCCCTCCCCACCTCCATCAATGAGCCTTCCCTCCCCTCCTCCATCAATGAGCCTTCCCTCCCCTCCTCCATCAGTGAGCTTTTCCTCCCCACCTCCATCAATAAGCCTTTCCTCCCCACCTCCATCAATTAGCCTTCCCTCCCCACCTCCATCAGTGAGCTTTTCCTCCCCACCTCCATCAATAAGCCTTTTCTCCCCACCTCCATCAATTAGCCTTCCCTCCCCACCTCCATCAGTGAGCCTTCCCTCCCCACCTCCATCAATGAGCCTTCCTTTTCCACCTCCATCAATGAGCTTTACCTTCTCTCCTTCATCAATAAGCCTTACCCCCACCTCCATCAATGAGCCTTCCCTCCCAACCTCCATCACCGAGCCCTCCCTCCCCACCTCCATCAATGAGCCTTCCATCCCCTCCTCCATCAATGAGCCTTCCCTCCCCACCTCCATCAATAAGCCTTCCCTCCCCTCCTCCATCAGTGAGCTTTTCTTCCCCACCTCCATCAATAAGCCTTTCCTCCCCACCTCCATCAATTAGCCTTCCCTCCCCACCTCAATCAGTGAGCCTTCCCTCCCCACCTCCATCAATGAGCCTTCCTTCTCCACCTCCATCAATGAGCTTTACCTTCTCTCCTCCATCAATAAGCCTACCCCCCACCTCCATCAATTAGCCTTCCCTCCCCACCTCCATCAGTGAGCCTTCCCTCCCCACCTCCATCAATGAGCCTTCCCCTCCCACCTCCATCAATGAGCCTTCCTTCTCCACCTCCATTAATGAGCTTTACCTTCTCTCCTCCATCAATGAGCCTTCCCTCCCCACCTCCATCACCGAACCCTCCCTCTCTACCTCCATCAATGAGCCTTCCCTCCCCTCCTCCATCAATGAGCCTTCCCTTCCCACCTCCATCAATAAGCCTTCCCTCCCCTCCCTCCATCAGTGAGCTTTTCCTTTCCACCTCCATCAATAAACCTTTCCTCCCCACCTCCATCAATTAGCCTTCCCTCCCCACCTCCATCAGTGAGCCTTCCCTCCCCACCTCCATCAATGAGCCTTCCTTCTCCGCCTCCATCAATGAGCTTTACCTTCTCTCCTCCATCAATAAGCCTACCCCCCCCTCCATCAATGAGCCTTTCCTCCCCACCTCCATCAATTAGCCTTCCCTCCCCACCTCCATCAATGAGCCTTCCCTCCCCACCTTCATCAATGAGCCTTCCCCTCCCACCTCCATCAATGAGCCTTTCTTCACCTCCATCAATGAGCTTTACCTTCTCTCCTTCATCAATGAGCCTTCCCATCCCCACTTCCATCAATGAGCCTTCCCTCCCCACTTCCATCAATGAGCCCTCCCACCTCCATCAATGAGCCTTCCCTCCCCACCTCCATCAATGTTCCTTCCACCCCCACCTCCATAACTGAGCCTTCCCTCCCCAGCTCCATAAATGAGCCTTCCCTTCCCACCTCCATAAATGAGCCTTCCCTTCCCACCTCCATCAATGAGCTTTCCCTCTCCATCTTCTTTAATGAGCCTTCCTTCCCCACCTCCATAACTGAGCCTTCCCTCCCCAGCTCCATAAATGAGTCTTCCCTTCCCACCTTCATCAAGGAGCCTTCCCCTTCCACCTCCATCAGTGAGCCTTTCCTCCCCACCTCCATCAATGTGTCTCCCCACCCAACCTCCATCAATAAGCCTCTGCTATTGTCCCCGGTTGGACGGTTCTCTTCCACTTTTGGTTTGTCCTGACCACTGCAGACCGGAAAAATCCCACATGAAATGCAGTTTTGGAGTTGCTCTGACCCCATCATCTAGACCAGGGTTCCCCCAGAGGTTGCTAGGGGTTCCTGGAGCAATGAGCAATATCCGCCTCTCAGATAGGTTCCCACTGACACTACTGATATTTTTAGCTATCTATAAGGGGTTAATTCTTCCCACTGACCAACAATGTAAGGGACATTCTTCCCACTGACCCCCAATGTAAAGGACATTCTTCCCACTGACCCCCAATGTAAGGGACATTCTTCCCACTGACCAACAATGTAAGGGACATTCTTCCCACTGACCCCCAATGTAAAGGACATTCTTCCCACTGACCCCCAATGTAAGGGACATTCTTCCCACTGACCCCCAATGTAAGGGACATTCTTCCCACTGACCACCAATGTAAGGGACATTCTTCCCACTGACCCCCCAATGTAAGGGACATTCTTCCCACTGACCCCCAATGTAAGGGACATTCTTCCCACTGACCCCCAATGTAAAGGACATTCTTCCCACTGACCCCCAATGTAAGGGACATTCTTCCCACTGACCCCCAATGTAAGGGACATTCTTCCCACTGACCACCAATGTAAGGGACATTCTTCCCACTGATCACCAATGTAAGGGACATTCTTCCCACTGACCCCCAATGTAAGGGGCATTCTTCCCACTGACCCCCAATGTAAGGGACATTCTTCCCACTGACCCCCAATGTAAGGGACATTCTTCCCACTGACCCCCAATGTAAGGGACATTCTTCCCACTGACCCCCAATGTAAGGGAGCATTCTTCCCACTGACCCCCAATGTAAGGGACATTCTTCCACTGACCTCCAATGTAAGGGACATTCTTCCCACTGACCCCCAATGTAAGGGACATTCTTCCCACTGATCCCCAATGTAAGGGACATTCTTCCCACTGACCAACAATGTAAGGGACATTCTTCCCACTGACCACCAATGTAAAGGACATTCTTCCCACTGACCCCCAATGTAAGGGACATTCTTCCCATTGACCCCCAATGTAAAGGACATTCTTCCCACTGACCCCCAATGTAAGGGACATTCTTCCCACTGACCCCCAATGTAAGGGACATTCTTCCCACTGACCACCAATGTAAGGGACATTCTTCCCACTGACCACCAATGTAAGGGACATTCTTCCCACTGACCCCCAATGTAAAGGGACATTCTTCCCACTGACCCCCAATGTAAGGGACATTCTTCCCACTGACCCCCAATGTAAGGGACATTCTTCCCACTGACCACCAATGTAAGGGACATTCTTCCCACTGACCCCAATGTAAGGGGCATTCTTCCCACTGACCCCCAATGTAAGGGACATTCTTCCCACTGACCCCCCAATGTAAGGGACATTCTTCCCACTGACCCCCAATGTAAGGGACATTCTTCCCACTGACCACCAATGTAAGGGACATTCTTCCCACTGACCCCCAATGTAAGGGACATTCTTCCCACTGACCCCCAATGTAAGGGACATTCTTCCCACTGATCACCAATGTAAGGGACATTCTTCCCACTGATCACCAATGTAAGGGACATTCTTCCCACTGACCCCCAATGTAAGGGACATTCTTCCCACTGACCCCCAATGTAAGGGACATTCTTCCCACTGACCCCCAATGTAAGGGACATTCTTCCCACTGACCCCAATGTAAGGGACATTCTTCCCACTGACCCCCAATGTAAGGGACATTCTTCCCACTGACCCCCCAATGTAAGGGACATTCTTCCCCACTGACCCCCAATGTAAGGGACATTCTTCCCACTGACCACCAATGTAAGGGACATTCTTCCCACTGACCCCCAATGTAAGGGACATTCTTCCCACTGACCTCCAATGTAAGGGACATTCTTCCCACTGACCACCAATGTAAGGGACATTCTTCCCACTGACCACCCCAAGGGACATTCTACTGACCCCAATGTAAGGGACATTCTTCCCACTGACCCCCAATGTAAGGGACATTCTTCCCACTGAACCCCCAATGTAAGGGACATTCTTTCCCACATTCTTCCCCCCCAATGTAAGGGACATTCTTTCCCACTGACCCCAATGTAAGGGACATTCTTCCCACTGACCCCCCAATGTAAGGGACATTCTTCCCATTCTTCCCTTCTTCCCACTGACCCCCAATGTAAGGGACATTCTTCCCACTGACCCCCAATGTAAGGGACATTCTCTTCCCACTGACCCCAATGTAAGGGACATTCTTCCCACTGACCCCCCAATGTAAGGGACATTCTTCCCACTGACCCCCAATGTAAGGGACATTCTTCCCACTGACCCCCAATGTAAGGGACATTCTTCCCACTGACCCCCCAATGTAAGGGACATTCTTCCCACTGACCCCCAATGTAAGGGACATTCTTCCCCACTGACCCCCAATGTAAGGGACATTCTTCCCACTGACCCCCAATGTAAGGGACATTCTTCCCACTGACCCCCAATGTAAGGGACATTCTTCCCACTGACCCCCCAATGTAAGGGACATTCTTCCCACTGACCCCCAATGTAAGGGACATTCTTCCCACTGACCCCCAATGTAAGGGACATTCTTCCCACTGACCCCCAATGTAAGGGACATTCTTCCCACTGACCCCCAATGTAAGGGACATTCTTCCCACTGACCCCCAATGTAAGGGACATTCTTCCCACTGACCCCCAATGTAAGGGACATTCTTCCCACTGACCCCCAATGTAAGGGACATTCTTCCCACTGACCCCCCAATGTAAGGGACATTCTTCCCACTGACCACCAATGTAAAGGGACATTCTTCCCACTGACCCCCAATGTAAGGGACATTCTTCCCACTGACCCCCAATGTAAGGGACATTCTTCTTCCCACTGACCCCCAATGTAAGGGACATTCTTCCCACTGACCCCCCCAACTGTAAGGGACATTCTTCCCACTGACCCCCAATGTAAGGGACATTCTTCCCACTAAGGGACCCAATTCTTCCACTGACCCCCCAATGTAAGGGACATTCTTCCCACTGACCCCCAATGTAAGGGACATTCTTCCCACTGACCCCCCAATGTAAGGGACATTCTTCCCACTGACCCCCAATGTAAGGGACATTCTTCCCACTGACCCCCAATGTAAGGGACATTCTTCCCACTGACCCCCCAATGTAAGGGACATTCTTCCCACTGACCCCCAATGTAAGGGACATTCTTCCCACTGACCCCCAATGTAAGGGACATTCTTCCCACTGACCCCCAATGTAAGGGACATTCTTCCCACTGACCCCCAATGTAAGGGACATTCTTCCCACTGACCCCCAATGTAAGGGACATTCTTCCCACTGACCCCCAATGTAAGGGACATTCTTCCCACTGACCCCCAATGTAAGGGACATTCTTCCCACTGACCCCCAATGTAAGGGACATTCTTCCCACTGACCCAATGTAAGGGGACATTCTTCCCACTGACCCCCAATGTAAGGGACATTCTTCCCACTGACCCCCAATGTAAGGGACATTCTTCCCACTGACCCCCCAATGTAAGGGACATTCTTCCCACTGACCCCCAATGTAAGGGACATTCTTCCCACTGACCCCAATGTAAGGGACATTCTTCCCACTGACCCCCAATGTAAGGGACATTCTTCCCACTGACCCCCAATGTAAGGGACATTCTTCCCACTGACCCCCAATGTAAGGGACATTCTTCCCTGCTGACCCCCAATGTAAGGGACATTCTTCCCACTGACCACCAATGTAAGGGACATTCTTCCCCCACTGACCCCCAATGTAAGGACATTCTTCCCACTGACCCCCAATGTAAGGGACATTCTTCCCACTGACCCCAAATGTAAGGGACATTCTTCCCACTGACCACCAATGTAAGGGACATTCTTCCCACTGACCCCCAATGTAAGGGACATTCTTCCCACTGACCCCAATGTAAGGGACATTCTTCCCACTGACCACCCCAATGTAAGGGACATTCTTCCCACTGACCCCCAATGTAAGGGACATTCTTCCCACTGACCCCCAATGTAAGGGACATTCTTCCCACTGACCCCCAATGTAAGGGACATTCTTCCCACTGATCACCAATGTAAGGGACATTCTTCCCACTGACCCCCAATGTAAGGGACATTCTTCCCACTGACCCCCAATGTAAGGGACATTCTTCCCACTGACCCCAATGTAAGGGACATTCTTCCCCCACTGACCACCAATGTAAGGGACATTCTTCCCACTGACCCCCAATGTAAGGGACATTCTTCCCACTGACCCCCAATGTAAGGGACATTCTTCCCACTGACCCCCAATGTAAGGGACATTCTTCCACTGACCCCCAATGTAAGGGACATTCTTCCCACTGACCCCCAATGTAAGGGACATTCTTCCCACTGACCCCCAATGTAAGGAGCATTCTTCCCACTGACCCCCCCAATGTAAGGGACATTCTTCCCACTGACCCCCCCCAATGTAAGGGACATTCTTCCCACTGACCCCCAATGTAAGGGACATTCTTCCCACTGACCACCAATGTAAGGGACATTCTTCCCACTGACCCCCAATGTAAGGGACATTCTTCCCACTGACCCCCAATGTAAGGGACATTCTTCCCACTGACCCCCAATGTAAGGGACATTCTTCCCCACTGACCCCCAATGTAAGGGACATTCTTCCCACTGACCCCCAATGTAAGGGACATTCTTCCCACTGACCCCCAATGTAAGGGACATTCTTCCCACTGACCCCACAATGTAAGGGACATTCTTCCCACTGACCCCCAATGTAAGGGACATTCTTCCCACTGACCCCCAATGTAAGGGACATTCTTCCCACTGACCCCCAATGTAAGGGACATTCTTCCCACTGACGACCCCCAATGTAAGGGACATTCTTCCCACTGATCCCAAATGTAAGGGACATTCTTCCACTGACCACCAATGTAAGGGACATTCTTCCACTGACCACCAATG